ACTCCATTCAGCCTCAGGCCCTTGACTTTGAGAAAGTGGTAGGCAGATCAGAGATGTACCAAATGAAAAATCCTAAAAAAAACAGGATAATGCAAGGATCAACAGACATTCTGGCTCTTCTAGGAGAGAAGGCTGAAGAGGGAGGCTGTTATGGAAGAGATGGGAACATTATTTTTTTTCTCTTTCCTCAGAGGTGTAAGGCAGGAAGAAGCCAGCTTCGCTTGCAGTAAGATTTCAACTAGTTCTTGGAGGTTAATAGTACTGACATTTCTTTGGCCAATTAAAAATTGTTCAGCACTGATAGAATATTTCTATTTGTTGTTGTATGGCTGTATACATTCAAAGACAGGAAATTGTTCAGCACTGATAGTTAGAATATTTCTATTTGTTGTATGGCTGTATACATTCAAAGACAGTTGTATGAAGCTGGATATTTTCATCAAACTGATTTGATGTAGAGTTAAAAAGCCAATCAACCTGGAGAAGCCTGGTTCTGCTGTGCCTCCTCCAGGCAACTGTTTGCCTGATAAAAGGGCCCCTCTTTCTCTAGGGGCAGTAATGGAGCTCTATGCAATCAACCAGTCTCATTAAACATGTAGGAATTCAATCTCTGCCAAATTTGACCAGCGTTAAAATCTCAGGGAATAGTTAGAAACATGTTTTAAGCTTGTATAAGCCTTGTCTCTGCAGAAAGCAGGCTTAACTGTAAATGGGAGTATTTTTTTTTTACAACACATGCAGTAATATAATGAAATTCTTATGTAAAAGTGATCTATTCTATTCCTCTTCAAAAAACATTTTTTTAATCAATCTAGCAAACGAGTACTTGCTGTTGAGGAGGGGTTGGGGGGGGATATTGGTGTGTCAGCTGGTGGTTCTTGCATAACAGCTCCTGAATATAAAGCTAGAGGCCAGGGCTGGGATGCAGCTGGAACAGGTTTGTGCAGCAGTGTGGAAGGGAAGGGATACGTAATGGGACTTAGAAGTATACAGGGAAGAACAAAGAGTTTTTTTTGAAGAGGACATGCAGGCTCTTCGTGACAAAGGAGGCAAGAATAAAGGGATAGTCTCTTAGTTATAACACAGAAAGAAGGGAAGGATTAGGATGGGCTGGAATGTAGAGCTTTCATCTCACAGGAAATGGTACAATTTGGAAAAAAAAATACTGATTTTTACTTTTAATCAAATAGGTTTGTTTCCACTGGGGAAAGAAACACTTCAAACAGCTCTAAAAAGAAAATAATGCTGACTAACACTTCAGTTTGATTTATTATTATTTTTTAAAATAATAATAATCTGCTTCCAGGGTAGATGTTAAAGGTATACATGTGCCTACATATAGCATAAAGTTGAGAGAACAGGGTGTCCAGCTTGATTTTTTATTTTTAAAAATAATAATAATCTGCTTCCAGGGTGGATGTTAAAGGCATACATGTGCCTACATTTAGCATAAAGTTGAGAGAACAGGGTGTCCAGCCAGGGGAGAACAGAGCCAAGCAAGTGGTACTTCAGCAGGATCTCTTTGGCTTATCCTATACTGCTGTGGTCTGATGCACCATGTACCCAAACAAGCTGTAAATGATGGCCAAGGCTAATTACCCAGACAACTCCTGGTACTCAGGCTAGCTTGTTTTACCAAGAGGGTTAATTGCTGCTGAGTTCCAATGATGCGCTGCTAATAAACGTGGGTAAGAACAGAAGCCAGATGAATGCCAAAGGAACTGATCCCTGGATTCCCCAGTGTGTGGATCTGACACTGTGTATTAGCAGCAGGGAAAATTGCAGGCTGGTCATTAACATAGATACTTTCTTCTATTTTTCTTGCTGTCAAGGACAAAAGTAGGATTAGGCTGTATTTTGTTTAATGAAGGGGATGTTGATTTAGTCCTCTGCTGTGTCAGTTCACATTTACCTCAGCAGGGAAGACTGCAGCAGGAGCCAGTGAGGTGCAAAATCCCTCTGGAACGTAGGGCGGCAGCAATGCAATTGCCCACCCCCACTGGCACCCAGCCTCCCCACACGGGCATGGAGAGCCCGGTGGCTCAGGAGGTTCTGTAGGTGCCACAGGTCACCGAGCTCTTGGTGCTCTCAGCACCTGAACATTCTACCCAAAATTCAAAGTCAATACTGCAGGGTCCTCCTTCCAACAGTGTACCTGGGCTGTGCACCCAGAGCCTATCTTTCTGTATGTAATTGGGCACGCTGGTGTTGAAGATTGCAAGACAGCAGACAGGGAAGGATCTTTACCACAGAGTAACTTAAGAACACGAATGAAACTATTTGCATTTTGGTAAGTGCTGAGGAGTACCTTTAAGTGCCTGGCAGTGCTTTTTTTTTTTTTTTTTTAAATTATGTGCTGTTAGTACTTTTAGTTAAGAATACAGCCATTCTGCAATAGATGAAAGAATTTGTGATGGCAGTGCCTGTTCCCAAATGGTATTTAATGGGAATGTGATTGGATTTCATACCTTTTCATCTCTGTGACTTGCAGGAAAATGTTTAGGAAGTTTGAAAGTGCGATGTAGTACACACAGGAGAATTTCAAAAGTGTAACTGACAGGCATGCACCTATTTGTGTACATAAACGACAGTCAAAATACCTTCCTGGATTTTCAAAAGTCTTCCTAACATGGCAAAGGAGAGTAATAATCTTTTCTTCTTCTAACAGTATCTAGCAATACAGGTATCTCCTGACCAGCTGATGTCCTTTGGTGGCTCTGCAGACCCCTGTGCTATGTGCTTTCTCTACAGCATCGGCAAGATAGGGGAGCAAGAGAACAAGGTCTACTCCAAATTGCTTTGTGACTTGCTGAACAAACAGCTGAAAATACCATCTGACAGGTGAGCTTGTACAGCAACTTGTCTGATGTGACTTTCCACACATTGTTAAAGCTATTAATCCCAGGCTTGTCCTTTTGGTGCTCCTCTATTAACATTCTACTTGAAGAGGCTAAATGCCAAGTCAATAGAGCAACTCTCCAATTAAAAAGAGGAAAGGAGCAATTGCATGAGCTGCAAAGCCAATGCCCAGAAGCAGTAAAATTTATTTTAGTTAAAATGATGGAGACTCAGGCACTGCATGTATGTGCAAGAGCCAGGTACAGACACAATAACTTGATAACTTGGGAAATTCTGGTATATGTTACTCTACTGCCTGTGGAGTACATGTGGAGGTCTATTACAAAAGCTTCCACTTATAAAAGCATTTATAGTCCTTTTCCTGAAGGTGGTGTACCAATCTGTTCCAGAAATGACTGTAAATAAAATACAGCATCCTGAGATCTCCCTAAAACAAGAATTGGAAAAATACCATGAAACCCAGAATGCAAGTATGATGACAACACGCAATGCTCAAACGTGCCTGCCAGAACTTGCAAAAGGAAATTGTAACTTGCTGAGCTGTAGCACGGGCCTGAGAAGTGGGAAGCCCCTGCCCTGTGGCAGGAACACCCTGGCTGCTCTGTGCTCAGCAGCTAACTGTGTCTGTCTTTCCTTTCAGAATCTATGTCAGCTTCTTTGAGATCAGCGCTGGCAATGTAGGCTGGAACAACACCACCTTTGCTTGAGGTGCCCTCAGGTGATAACGGCTTACTCCTGAACATGGCTTTTGAGCACTGCAGCTCCAGACATGTTACCAGTATCTGGCACAAATGCAAAATTGCAGTGGTACCTTAGTCACTGCTACTCGCTGCTGTTTAATGTCTTCTCTGCTGCTTAAATAAAAGTGAAAAATCCAGCAGGAGCTCTATGATTGATACTGTCTTGTTTTTGAAAACAACTTGGTTTTTTGTGTGAGAATGAACACTCCAATTGGGTATGCCTTTCTCCTGTTCAAGCTGGACAGCCTGGCCAAATTTAAATACAGCTATGCTGACCTGATTTCAAAATACACTTATGTTTAAGTCAATAGATGTGGCTATCAATGTGGCATACGGCCCTGCCTCTAAAAGGAGGAAAGACATGATTGCCTCTTACTTAAAAGGGATGGATTGCAGACCAGATCCTCCTTAGATCTTAATACTCCATGGACCTCTAGCTGCTTAGTAGAAAAATTGATGCTGCAAGAGTCTGCCAGGGCTCAGTATCGGCAGAGAGAGTAAGTGGAAAAACCCCACGGTTCACTGTTCTGCCCTCCCCTTTTCATCCACTGAACAATTTGCAGTGACAGTGAAGATTAGAGCACAACTCAAAATGAGGCAGAGGGACAGTGAGCCATTCCCAGAGGCGAAAGTAATGAATTACTTACAAAAGGCAGATTTCCATATAAATATTTATTATTCTAGCCCTGGGCCAAATAAGAGCATTTGATTCCAAAGTAAAAGGGATTGAGTACAGATCTGTTTCCTGAGATTGCAACCTTTTTCTCCTGGAACAACAAAGTCATCTCACCCCTGTTCTGAGCTCTACTGTAAACATCCCATTTTGTCCCTATCCCTGCTTTGCTTTGTAGCCACAGTCTTTAAATACAAGCCTGTACCTCAAGGTGCAAAAATACTATGTTGAGATAAAAAATGAAAGCTGCTTTGGTCAATCAAAGCCGCATAACCAATGAAGCAACATACTACTTTAGCACATTAACATGCTATATCCTATTAAGTATTTTTTATTCCACGTAATACCTTGAAGAGCTGCCCAAGGAAGGAAGGCATGGCATGAGGCAGGTAGCCTTTTGGCAGAATTGCTTGTGGAGAATGGCTACGAAGCTGCTAAACACAGCAGGATCTTCCATGGGGAGGCAGTTTCCTTCTCCAGAAAACAATCTGCCTTCTACATAGAGCCACCTGCTCAAAGAATGCTGCCTCTTCCTGTTCTTGGAGCCACAGCACCTACATTCTCTGATGTTCTCCTGGTTCCTCCTCCCTGGTCCAGCTGCTCTGTGCTCAGGTTTTGACTGTAATGCAGCTGGGCACGTACAACTGCAACTCCCCAGCCCTGCTATTTGCTGTCAGCCTCCACAAAAGGATTCAGCCTGCCCCATGTATCTTCTGAAGCCTTTCTGTGCTTTCAGAGTTATTCTCAGAGCATCCAAATCCTGAAATGTGTGTTCCTAAGGTATATCATGGCACAAGTACAATTAAGACCACCTTTACTTTGCTAACAATCCTTATACTCTCTAATAGGGAATGTAAAAGCTTTCTTTGCCTCTGGCACATCATTAGAATGCTCTTAGTATATTTCTGTAAAACATTTTACTTTACATTTTTCTGCTCTTAAGAACAACAAAGAAATGTGCCTATTTTAATTTCAGGGAATTGTATTTTGAAACAGATGCTGTTCATCCAGAAAATGTATTATGAATGCATGTGTGTGGAGCAGCCACTTGAGGGAGGGCTGTGCACAAATAGACTGGTGTTTGGTCATCTTCTAAAAAGGAATCTTTAGAAGCTATGAAAATGTACGCACTGCTTCTTCCCTAGTCAAGGGGGTAAAGGAGAATGAAATTGTGGATGTCCCTCCATTGTGTGGCAGCATGGCCAGGGCCTGGCAGGGCACACAGCAAGCACAGCGGTGGCGTCACAATTCCCACCCCACCTCAGTGCAACAACTCTTGAAGGCAGGAAGGTGTGAGGTATAAGTGGCTCTATGCAATGGCAGGGAGCTGATAATACTATTTCTTAATAGCATTGTTAAGCACTAAAAAAATAAATGTTCCAGTCCTGCCAGTTCTCAGTGTTATAGCCTGTGCCACTCCAAAGCATTCCCATACAATACCATCCCTTATTCTTCATTCAGGGCTATGTGTGTTCATATGTGTAACATACATGTACGGTCAAGCTTTCCAGCAGCAGTGCTGGAACTGTGTTAAAAACTAACACGTGCTCGATTTGTGTGTAAAATGTCCGCAAGGAGAGGGCTCTGGCCCTGATTCTCCTTGGCCTTCCTGTGAGTCATTTCAAGCAGAGCTGCGCCGCAGTCCCAGCAGTGAGCCGTGCCCTCTGCAGCCTACGTGCATCCCATCACACAGCCCAGCACAGGGCTCAGCTCTCCGGCTGCCTCTCACCTCCGAATAGACACGCACCGTTACATTCCTAAGCAAAGAATGATCACTTCTGCCTTCACCCAGTAGAAAAATACGGTATGAAAATGAGGACACTGAGGAGTGATATATCAGTTTCTACTTGACTGAAAAATTTTAGAGAATAATTAACATATCGTCACATCAGACATTTCAGCTTACATTGTGCTAAAGCTATGCACAAAATTAAAACAAAAAAAAATGTGCAAATGTGCCTTCATTTTGCAAAAGAAAAAAATTCCCTTCAGTTCCACGGCTAGTATTCTATTGCAACGGCCAAGCTAGTGCCTGTAGCCCTTCTTGGCCCTGATCTTGCAAAAGCCAGTGGCAATGCTACAGCAGTAGTACCACATGCGCTGATACCAGGTTATGTATGAACTGCCCGGCGCGGCAAGACTCAGTTCCAGGGAGGAGCCTACAAATTACCCGAAAAAATGCCCAATGGTAGTAACAAAGCAGACGAATAACGGCGGAAAGGGGATAGAATTCTGGCGGGCCCCTGCTGCGGGCAGGAAGCCGTAAACCGCAGAAGGGCAAGCAGACTGGGGAGACAGCCTCCCCCCTCGGCTCCCTCCCCCGCCCCGCCGGGCGCGGCCCCTTTAAGACCGGCGCGGCCCCGCGCACGCTAAAAGCGCCACCGTCGCCGCCCCGCTCCATTCCGCCGTCGCCGGTGCCGCCAACATCCCTCTGCTCCCGCCACCGGCCCCCACACTGCCGCCACCATGCCCATGTTCACCATCCAGACCAACGTCTGCAAGGACGCCGTGCCCGACAACCTGCTGGGCGACCTCACCCAGCAGCTGGCCAAGGCCACCGGCAAGCCGGCGCAGGTGAGGGCGGGCAGCGGGGCCGGTGCTGCCGGAGGCGGAGGGCCGCGGCCCGGCGATAGCGGGGGCCGCCCCGGGATGGGGCGAGCACGTGGGGAGGCCCGTGCTGAGGCTCCCGGCGGTAGGGCGGCCCCCGGGCCGGAGGGGCTGCGGTCGCCGAGGGGGTTGGCGGCGGGCACAACGTGGCTGCGGGCCCCGCCGCTCTCCGCTCCCGGCAGCCCTCCGAGGGAGGCGCGGTGAGCAAGGCCTCCCGCTGCCTCCATCGGCCCGTCCCCAGGCCGTGCGGCTCCCGGAGGCTGTCGGCCTGGGCGGCCCGGAGCTGCAGCGTGACCCGCGGAAAAGCGGTGCTCGAATAACCAAATCACCGGAGATTTGGCTGTGCTTGTGCCCGGGAGTCGGGATTTGAGCCGCGGAGCCGGGCCAGCGGCGCGTTTGGTGCAGTCCGCCGGGCCGGCGGCTCTGGCCAAGCCGCCAGCGGCGCGTTTGGTGCAGTCCGCCGGGCCGGCGGCTCTGGCAAAGCCAAGTAACGGATACGGCAGGTTTCCTCGGGGATGCTCCCGGTTATCCCGGGATTGGATACGGCACCTCTCGGGCCAGAGCGCTGCAGCCTGAGAAATCAAAGCCCGATAAGGCTGAATTGCCGCCAGGCTCTCAGACAGGCCCGGTGGCTCAGTCAGTGATTTGAGGGTGTGAATTCTGGCACGCAAATACAGTTTTAAGGCCTTTATCTCTCGCCGCGTGCTCTTTGCCCCGTGCAGGAGCAGTGCTGTGGTGGGCAGGACCAGCCCTCTCCCCCGTGGCTTTGCACAAACGCGACCTTTGTTCCTAAAGCTGAGAGCCAGGCAGGGGGGATCCCCGCAGCACACACTGCCGTGGGGGCTGGGGTGCCTGGGGGGATCCCCACAGCACGCCCTGCCATGCCACCCGGGTGGGCTGGGGTGCCTGGGGGGATCCCTGCAGCACATAGGCTCTGCTGTGCCACCCGTGTGAGCTCCATCCTCCAAAGGATGGAGGGCCACGCTGGCGTGCTGCCTGGCCCCAGGCCTGGACCACCACACAGCACACAACTGCGCTGTTTGAAGTTGGTACCTAAAGGAAGTGTGTGTTGGCAGAGGGGAGGCGAGATACGCTGTAACTGTTTGTTCTCTCACCTCAGTACATAGCTGTGCACGTCATACCCGACCAGATGATGTCCTTCGGGGGCTCCACTGATCCCTGCGCGCTCTGCAGCCTTTACAGCATCGGCAAAATAGGAGGACAGCAGAACAAGACTTACACCAAGCTCCTGTGTGATCTGATCTCCAAGCACTTGCATGTATCTGCAGACAGGTAATGCTGGGTTGTGATGTTATTAACCTTGTTTATCTGGTTCTCTGAAATTGCTCTGAAAGGTTCATTTAAAAATACAAAAGGCCAGGAATAAGCCTGTGTATTTCAGAAAATACGAAATGATCATTTGCAGTGTTTTCATCTCCAGTTAAGAGTTTGTTGCCTGTGCATCCTCAGTTAAATGGCTTCCTGTTCTCAGAGCAGGGGAAGATCCCAGAGGACTGACAAAGTTGTACGGTGTGTCTTTTGAGGTGTGATGTCTTGTCCTCTAGTGATGGGAGGCTGAAAGCACAAGGGAGGAGCACTAACAGGCTGGAGCTGACAGGCAAAGTAGAAACCAGCAGATGTGAAGAGTTCCCTCGCAGGCTGTGGGGCCTTGGGAGAATGTCTGTGTGCAGCGGTGAAGGACGGGAAGAACCTGCTGCCACTGATGTGCTGGGGTTAGAAGGGAGAAGAGCAGAGCCAGCCCCGAGGGCCTGCTTGGCTTTCATAAGGCTGCGTGTCTGTCTGACACATGTGAAGGACTGCAGATGATGTGCTTGAAAACAAAGAGTTTTGATCTCCGGAAATTCTTGACAGGCTGCTAACCAAAGAACTGTCTGGTATCTGAATAGAGACAAGCTCTTCTCTGACTGGAGAAGAGTTTGTATTTTAAAAAACAGAAATAAGTACAGTTCCAGGTACTCCAATTCATATTGATTGTTGAAGGCTCTGCCTGAAAAGGTAGCTAGATTTCAGTAAAAATGCAGCTTGAGATTTCTTCTGGGGAACAGGAAGCACTGACTGCTGTCCTATTGTCCTGTCTCACTCATTACTTATATAAATGAGTTAATAAGGTTATTGTTTGTATGTTCCTGTGCCTCTTCTGCAGGGTGTACATCAACTACTTTGACATGAATGCTGCCAACGTGGGCTGGAATGGTTCCACCTTCGCGTAGAGCTCTCCCGTCTGTCTGAAGAGGCTGCTCCTGGACCTACCCTCCTCCTGCCCCTGCAGAGACCACCGCACAAACAGCCCTGTGTTGCATTTTGTGCACTCTCACAGATTGATGGCTCCCTGCTAGTGTGTTTAAATATTGCTGCTTCAACATTCCTCTGTTTTCTTTGTGTAGAAAACAAATAAAGATTTAGAAGTAAGCTGTCTGGTGTAGGCTTTGGCAGGTCGGGGATGGCGTTAAGCAATCGGCAACATATCTCACTCTGCTTGCTAAAACAAATGAAGGGAATACTTTGGGTTTGTTTCCAGTTTTCAGGCATGGTATTTCACAGAGTAGTTTGACTCGGCAGCAGGTGCCTGACAGCACTCCATGGTGATTTTTACCTTGCTGTAGGTGCCTTCTGAGCTTCTTATTGCTCTGAGGTTTTTTTGGCTCTGTCCTCTGTTGCCACAGCAGAAGCGGTCCTTGGGCCAGCCCTGTGCCTGCTGCTTCAGAGAGGCTTTCCTCTAACAATCTGCTGGCTGTGTGGGGCCAAGCAAGCGAAGGAGTGCTTTTTTTGCTCTGAGCTGAAATGCTGCTGCCCACATGGCTTATGCTGCCCTCTGGGCAGCCAGGGGGTGGGCCTGGGTGCTGGGGGAGCTTTGCTGGGGCCTGTGGCTGCTGTGGTGAGCCTCTCTGCTGGCTGCCAGCCTGTCCCCACAGCGATGCTGCGCTCTCCGGCGTCTCAGGGCCAAGCTCCCGCCATGTGGGGTTGCAGGGGGCGGAGTGTGACTGAGGGGGTTTGCTCCCCTCGCCGTTTTTCTCCCCGTCACCCTCCCGCCCTCATTCCCCCAGCTCCCTCCCCTCAGCCGCCGTTCCCGCCCCCGCCGCCCTCCCCTCAGGGGGCGCGCGCGCGGCACCCCTCCCCTGCCGGCAGGCGGCGCGCGCCCGCCCCCGCGCCTTCTGGAGCCTTCCGCCGCGCGTGCTCGGTGACGTCATCTCCGTGCGCCCGGGCGCCGCGGCCATGGCGCTCTTCTCCATCCACAGGTACCACCCGTCCCAGGCGCTGCCGGTCCCCGGCCCGGCCTCCCCCCCGCCACCCGGACTCGAGCGGAGGCGGCCGGGCCAGGGGGGAGGCCCGTGCCTGAGGAGGTTTGTGTTTGGGCTGTTTCAGGTATGGCGGGGAGGAGGAGGGGGCCGAGGCCGAGGCGGAGGAGCGGGCTCGGGTCCTGCTGGAGCGGCTGCGACAGCAGGCCAAGGCCCGGCAGCTGAAGAAGGAGCAGGAGGAGGCGCGGCCCGAGGGAGGGGAAGGGGATCTCCCCGGAGGAGCCAGCCCCGGGGGCGAACCCGGGGAGAGAGCAAGGAAGAGGAAGGGGGAGAGCGAAGAGCAGGCCGGTGCGCAGGGACAGAAGAAGGTAAAGAAGAAACAGCGGTCCGGCAGCTCTCTTGAAGAAGGAGCGGGTGCTGAGGAGGCAGCAGATGGCAGTACTCCATCGAAGAAGAAGAAAGAAAATAGAAGAAAATCGCGAGAGAAGACTGAAGCAGGTGAGGATAAACTGAGGCCGTGGGATTTGGGTTCATTGTGGTTGACAGCTCTCAGCAGAGGAGTAGACACAAGTTGCCCTTTGAGTAGCTTTCTGAATTTATCTGGTGGTAAACTTTGTTTTCCTCTGCTAAATACGTTCCCAAAATGATTCATTTTTTAGGGGAAAGCCCCATATTGAAAACTTTGAGGATCAGTTTAATGTAAGGGAAGGAGAGAAATATGTCATCTCAGTCTTCAGTTGCCTCCGTACCAATGAAGAAACATTTTGCCTTTGCACTTGGATTTAGGAAGACAGAAGAGCTTGCAAGTTGTTGCTTAAGTCCTATATTGTAAAATGTTCATGACATCCCTTTCCCGTAGCACATTCTGACCTGTAACTTTGTATTCCTGTTATTCAAATTCCAGATTCTGAAGAAGATATCAGCCAACAGGAAAACAGAAGCAACCTTAACAATAAGCCTTCTAAAAGGAAAAAGAGGGATGAGGAAACAGAGGGAGCTGAAACAAGGAAGACAGACAGCAGTGGAAGAGCTGAAGAAGACCAGAGCACAAAGGAGGAGCTGTCCTTAGCAGCCTCAGAGAAAGAGGCAAATCATCCACCCTCCAGTTTGATGGTTCTTGGAGACTACGACAGAAAGCCAGTGCAGAAGGTAACTAGCTTAACTGAACTTTGATGATAGTTAGGAAGGAATATGCATCTTACCGGCTTATTTTATGTGTGGCATTGCCTGTTTGACAGCAGGAACACTTTGTTATTCTCCTTTCCTGCACCTCAGGTTCAGCCCTTCTTACCGCAGTGGCTTGCTCAACCCAAACTAGTACAAAAACGTATCAAAGATAATCTAGTTCCAATCAGAGATGTCCCAGGAATTCATCCCAGGCTGTTGAAAAAGCTGCAAACGAATGGGATAGAGTCCTTTTTTCCAGGTATGTTGATAGTGCTTTTGTGTCTTCCTAAACTGAGTTATGTACCTGTTGCTGTATATTTCATGTACTCAGTGAAGTAAAATATAGAACAAAAACAAGTTTAATGCATCAAAGTGATCATACCTGCTTTAGCCCTTCTCTTTCAAAGCTTTATCTATTGTAGTTACTGAAGTTTGTTATCTAGTCATTTTTTTGTGGAGCATTTGCAGCTCCACAAAACAGGGTGACTTGAAGTAATAGTTCACAGCTGCCGAAAGAGGAAGGTCTTGCTTTTATCCTCCCATTTCCCTCCCTTATGCCAGGCATGTGCTTTAGTTCCTTACCTTCTACCATCTCTGCTTCCAGTCAGACCTCTTTGGGAACCTGTTTAACCATTAAAGTAGAAGAAAACTGTTCAAGCAAAAAAAGTTGTTGGTTTTCCATTATTGTACTGGTTTTGCAGACAAGTATAATAACATGTCAGCTCCTAAGTAAGTAAGAAGCACAGCTGGGTAAGGAGGGGAGAGAATGGAAGAAGGTGGGATTAAGTATAATAGCTCCTAAGTAAGTAAAAAGCACAGCTGGGTAAGGAGGGGAGAGAATGGAAGAAGGTGGGATCTCTGACCTTCAGCCAATTACTTGGTCCAGCTGAGTCTTGAGGTTTAGACTGTATCAGAGACTCATCAAGGTTACACTGGAAAGCCAGCTCGTGTCTTCTCTTTTTAAGGATGCTGTTACATAATGTTTTAACGTGAATGCTGTTGCTTATTTTGCTCTGGGAGATTTTAACAGGTTGCTGATAGCACCTTCTTGTGTTTTCTCATAAATCAGGTCCAGCTTATGGCACTTGATAATAGCTAAATCAAGCAGTGTCACGCTCTGTCTGGCAGAGATGGTGTCCTCTGAAGTCGTACGTTATATGCATCACTGAGTATGGTCATGTTGTCACAGAGCTAGATCCCCTGGCTGCTAAACCTCAGGGATAAACTGAAGTTGGGTGGTTTGTCAGGGATTCTCGTGGGGCAGGGAATGGAAAGAATTCATGGATGATAAATAAAGCTGTTGGGCGTACAAGGCTGTTTGTTTTGGTCCTCATGTACTATCTTGCAGCAAACTTGACTTACTCCAAAGCCTGTAGGAATTGTCTGGTTTGCCGTGAATGCTGTTGCTTATTTTGCTCTGGGAGATTTTAACAGGTTGCTGATAGCACCTTCTTGTGTTTTCTCATAAATCAGGTCCAGCTTATGGCACTTGCTAGTAGCTAAATCAAGCAGTGTCATGCTCTGTCTGGCAGAGATGGTGTCCTCTGAAGTTGTACATTATATGCATCACTGAGTATGGTCATGTTGTCACAGAGCTAGATCCCCTGGCTGCTAAACCTCGGGGATAAACTGAAGTTGGGTGGTTTGTCAGGGATTCTCGTGGGGCTGGGAATGGAAAGAATTCATGGATGATAAATAAAGCTGTTGCCTGTACAGGGCTGTTTGCTTTGGTCCTCATGTACTATCTTGCAGCAAACTTGACTTACTCCAAAGCCTGTAGGAATTGTCTGGTTTGCTCCTTGGCAGATAAGGCTGCGTTGTGAAGTTGCATATTCTGTGTTTATGTAAGAGCAGTTTGTGCTTCAAAGAAAGGATGCTTACAGACAAATATTCATAGGTTTTAAATCTGCCCAGTGCCATCCTAACATGAGAACAAGAAGACAGGTATGAGTTGAAAACAATGTTTTAACACAGTAACATCCTAGCTGAGCGCTAGAAATAGAATTCTTGGAGAGGGAAATCTCTGTTCAATGCTAAGCTCCTGTGAGTCAACAGGAAATAAGTTAAGCCAGAGAGTGTCTCTATTTTAGGTCTACAGCAACAGCAGCACAGGTGTGGAAACAGATTCATTGTATATAACTGCTCTTCTGGATACAGTGGTTTTAGCCAGTTAACTCTCTAGTTAATGTTTGTTTCTGTTTTTGTTCAGTTCAGGCAGAGGTGATTCCTGCTATTCTGCAGAGCGCATCCAATGGGTATTTGATGGGGCAGGGAGGATACCGCCCCAGAGACATCTGCGTCTCCGCACCTACCGGCAGTGGTAAAACCCTGTCTTTTGTCATACCCATAGTACAGGTGAGTTTACCCCCAGAGAAATATCTGTAGGGAAAATGCTGGGGTTTGCTTTTGTTAAAGCGAAACCTGAACTTAGAAGGAGGTTAAAAAGCCAAGGAATTTGTGGCTGAAAAGCAGCAGATTTTTAGCTCAGAGCTCTCTGAGGGAGCTGTATGAGTCCCCTTCGTGTCAGCATCCCACTCTTTTTCTCAGACAAGAGGCATAGCATTAGTAGTTGGGAGGGTGGAGGAGGAGTAAAATGGAAACATAAAACTCCACGAGGATGTCTCAAGCCCATCTCTTCTCACTAGGTTAGATTCCCATTGCTTTCAGGGACTCATTTGGCCTTTTTTTTTTCTTTTTCTCAGGTTCTACTACATCGAGTAGTTTGCCACGTTCGAGCTCTGGTTGTTCTGCCCACCAAAGAACTGGCCCAACAGGTATGTGGCTCTTTACCTTCTCTCTGGGCAGAAGTGGACAGAAGACAAAGGCCAGTGCAGTCAATACTTTGCTTGACTGTTCTGTGAAGCAGGCTGAAGATCTGGCAGGGGATTTGATGCTGTTAGCGTAAGGGAAAGTATTGTTTGAGCTGATTTCATTGTGGCTAACAAAGCCCATCTCTTTGCAGGTGAGTAAAGTGTTCAACATTTATACTGACGGGACAGGTCTGAAGGTCATTTTGATTACTGGCCAGAAATCTTTTGCAAAGGAGCAGGAGATGCTTGTACAGAAAAAGTAGGTGAAAAGGTCTTTTGATAAGATATATAGAGATTGTAAGCTATTTAATCTCAGTAAGCAGAGGTCAAAATGTAGACGTGTATCACACCTTCATGCAATAATGATTTTGGATAGTGGGTTTACATGGTAGACACTGGTTGTTCTGTCTTTGTCAAAGTGCCTCCCGCTACCCCTTTTTTATGATTGTTACATTTTACTGTATTTTTTTTTGCCAGCTGAGTAGAATCCAAACATTTACCATATACCCACAGGTACAAATAATTGTTATGGAATTTTGCTGCAACTAAGCTTTTTTTAAGAGCAATAAAGAATGATGTTTTTTGTTTAAAAGAGGATTTAGTGTCCATCACTGCTGTTGCATGCTTTCCAAGTAAAGTATGTATTTGAATTATATTACTTGTCAGCTACGTGAAAAGTAGGAAAATCAGAAGGTCTGCTGCCAAGGATCTCTGTTACATGCTTTATGGTGTAGGGAAAAACTTGCTGATGGGCTGCTTGTTGTTTCAGAGTGACGGGCTACTGCAGCCTGGCTGATATTATTGTGGCGACACCAGGGCGGCTCACAGATCACATCAACCAGACCCCGGGGTTCAGCCTGACACAGCTTCGCTTCCTGGTGAGTCAATTCCACAGGTCTCCCATCTTAGTTCAGTGTTGGTTACAGCTGTAATTCCTGCCTTGTTCTCGCACAGTACATAAATGCATCTCTGTTGGAACTGTTGTATGGGCCTCATCTATACTCTAGATTGCTCAGGCAGTGGTCTCAAGATGAGATGTTTTACTCCAACTCATGACACCAAAGCATCCACCCACTTCCCCCTCTCTCTTAGCCTCTTGCAAACACAGACTAAAGCCTTGTTGATCAAGGTTGGTAAATTATCAGTGTGTAGCAGCTTCCACTGTATGGGAGTCTGTGCAGAGACATAGCTGCAGTCTTATTGAGTATATGGAGATTTTTATTTCTTCTTTGGAGGTGTGGTTTGGATTTATATGCAGATGAGTTTCAATGCAGTTTGAGTGTCAGGCTGGCTACTGAGCCACTGAAGCAAAAGCAAAATTCAGTTTTGGGGTAGAAATTTCTGCTTTTATTTAATAATGATAATATTGGAAAATAAAAGCTGCCTAATGTGAAACAATATTTAACAAGTAGTGTTTTTCGTCCCTCTGAATTCAGATTGTAGATGAAGCTGACCGTATGATCGATGATATGCACCAGAACTGTCTGAACCAAATTGTCAAAGCTGCATTCCAAGTGGAAAATTACACTGGCTCCAACGTGCTTTTTCAGAGGACCAAACCAGGGCCTTTAACAGCAGCCAGGCAAGTTGCCAAATGCATTTCTTTGAACTGGTAGCACAGACACCGATGCCACTGTCCTGCTTCACAGTACCCCCTCACGGGCACTCCCAAAGCCTGCTTACTCTGGGAAACGTCTACTGAAGTAAGGCAGCTTCTTTTTCAAAGCTTGAAAAAGCAGGCAGTGAACAGCTGATAGTAGAGGATGTCTTTTAGAGTGAAGCCCAAGTATTACATTATTCTTGCTTCCTTAATGAGACGAAAGGAGCATCAAAAAAATACACAAATATTGCAAGTCTGTGATTCATTTGCACAGTAGCTATAGCAATGCCCTCTGGCAAGCTGAGTAATGGGTTTAAAGGAAAACTCTTGGAATTATGTATCTGCAGCTGCTGTTTTCATACAGCATGGTAGAGATGTGCCAGAAACTGAGATCAGCAACCAAAGAAGGAAGCGACTAGAATGAGGACATGGGTAACCAGGATGCCAGGGTATGTGCAGGGGCCATGGATATGGGTTGTGCAGTTGATTGAGAGCGCTGATCAGTTCCATCGGTGAACTCCACCATAAAACAAGTGTGGAAAAGAACCCACGGAAAAGGCCCAGGGCAGGAAAGGAGCATCAAAAAGAGTTAATTGCTTTCCTCATAACATTGTCTGAAAACACTTGTGGAGGATCTCCTCTGCCCCATCCTCAAAGCTCGGTTTCCGTGTGCTATTTATTTCAGCTCCTGCTGTCCTCAGATACCCTTACAGAAACTGCTGTTTTCAGCCACGCTCACTCAGGACCCGGAGAAGCTGCAGCAGCTGGACTTATTCCAGCCTCGCCTCTTCACATCTGTCTATTCTGAGAAAAAAACACTCGGAGATGGAGCAGAGACTGAAGATGCTGAGAAATACACACTCCCCGAGGGGCTATCGGTATGACATTTAATTCTTTTAAACAAATCTTCAAGTATAATTTATTCAGCTGTGTAGTCATGTTTCTACCCTATAAACAATTATGTCTTCGCTATGATTCTTTGCATTACAAAGGTGCTGGGAGACAGTGGCTTTGGGAGCATTTATGATCCAGAGAGCTCTACCTTTGTGCATTTGTTTTCTCATTACGTAGTGTTAATTTGAAAAAGAATGGATTTATTTATTATTTTTTTAATTATACTTTCTTCATGCAGAATTAAGTTTACAGGCAATGGGGAGTAGAGATAAGGAGCGATACTAATGTAGTGGCACTTAATCAACTGTCCATCTCAAAGCATGTTGTACAAATATGTGTAACATGCATTTCAAAGCATGTAGATACAGGTCAGCCTGTTGACAAGAAGGCAGCACATGCTGTTACTTGCTCTGGAGAACATTAGAACAGCACAGGTCTCCTGTCTCCACCTTGTGTTTTCTTCTCCCAGCCTGTGACTGTGACTTGTTCTAAAGGGGGTGGCATTGTGGGGTCTGGTTTTGCTGCTATTAGTTGCAAAGCATGCAAGCCTAGGTAGGTTATGGAAACGTAGTGGGCTTCAGAGAAGACAGCCATGGCAAGAAGTAATCAAGAAGTAATTTTTGTCTCTGAACTTCTTCCCTGTTGACTGCAGCAATGTTATGTGCCTTGTGACCTGAATTCCAAGCCTTTGCTCCTCTTGCATTTCATGCTGATGATGAAATTTACCCGTGTGTTGTGCTTTACCAACTCCAGGGAAGCTTCTCACAGGTGAATATATTAATGAGATCACTGTAGTAGGTATCTGTCAAGTAATGTTACAGAGGTCATGAAGTGACTGTTTCTATCCTGTTTACTTACAGATTGTTCTTGCTGGTTCAAGCCTTTGGTGGAGTCACTGTGGCTGAATTTTCTTCTCGGTTATCTCCAAATGAGAGACAGAGAACCATAAAGGAATTTGAACAAGGAAAAATACAACTGTAAGCATCTTCAATGAGTTTCCTGCATGTCTTCCAACACAGGCTATTTCCAGTGTGAAAAGCTAGGTAGAACCAAGAACACAGTTAAATGAGGTCCTCTGTAAAACCCTGTGCAGGAACCAACTTACAGAATGGGTGTGAGGCTTGGACTTGTGACTTTTGAATGTTTACCCTGCACGTAACTTGGCCTGTTCTAATCTGGCTGTAATCTGAATTTCTGTGTGTTACTTTATAACAAGCAGTAAATGTAATTGCTTGTTCATACAGTTGCCCAAAACACATAGAGGTCTAAAAATCTTAATGTGTGTGCCTGCGGTCTGGCGCTTAGTGAAATAAAAAGGGTGTTGGTGCTAGAACTGTATGTTATTAGCACTTCCTACCAAAGAAATCCTTGATCAGACTGGCAAACAGATCTGCTTCTGTCCGTGTGTGTGATTTGCTTTGTGGTTTTGATAGCTGTATGGGATTGCCTCTCTGGAATGTCTCTGAGAGGAAGGTAAATACTTACTTTCTGGATTTGGTTTTTATCCAAACCCTTCGTTTACATTCATCCTTGACTAGTGGAATTTCATACCTCGTTGTCTGCTTCCAGTGCCTTTGGAATGTTCAGATAGCTTACAGGTTTGTAACTCCAATGTGATGGGAGCTATCTGGCTTAACGTCCCGTGCTTGGACAACCTGGAAACACCCAGTAACTTTTCATGCACAATAGTAGGTGACAAACTTGTAGCGATGCTTGGAGGTCCGTGGGCAGTTAGTAATGCTAGTGACAATAAGGAGTGACTTACAATGCTGCTGTCGTGCTCAGAGGTCAGAGGCTGGTTGCCCAGATTGAACAGAGGTTAGCAAAACTTATTCTGCTTGTGTGTGTACTGCAAGAGATGTTCTGCCCAGATAGAACAGAGGTTAGCAAAACTTGTGCCGTGTTCACTTGTTCTGCTTGTGTGTGTACTGCAAGAGATGTTATGTGAAAGTGACTGTATATGCATTTAAACCCAGGTTAATCAGCACAGATGCCACTGCCCGAGGGATTGACATTAAAGGAGTGAACTATGTGATAAACTATGATGCACCTCAGTTCATCAGGACGTATATTCACCGGTAAGACAGTCAGGAGCAAAAGGAAGATGTTTGAGCTTGGTTTACTGTGAAACGTTTAGCAAAGGTGACATGAACTTAAAAAGAATTTTTAGCTTTGGATTTTTTGTCTACCTTAATATGCAAATAGCTTTCTAATCAAAATTAAGCCTGAGTAATGCAGTACTGAAACAAAGAACTAGCACCCTATTAGAGAAAATGTACTTTACAGGAGCTAGAAATACTGTCCCGGGCAGCACTAAGTACTGGGTTTCTAGACATTCAGAATACTGCCGTGGCTCAGCAGCTGTGAACGAGCCCTGGAAAAGCTCATCCTTTGTAACATATGACTAGTCCTAGTGTGCTGACCTCGAAAAACTCAGAATCAGACTTTCTTAAAGCTGGAGAATTTCAGAATCAGACTTTTGGAGCTGATAATGGCAGTGACCACGTGGCTAAACTGACTTGACGCTACTTTTTCCGTTTTCAGCGTTGGAAGAACAGCTCGTGCAGGAGAAGTGGGTGTTGCTTTCAGCTTGGTCCTTAGAATCCAGGTATGTCGTTGGTGTGGGATTCATTTGATAAGGATGGGGCATAAGGAAGGTAAGGGTCATACTACTTCCCACCTTTTCCAGTCAGCTGAGCTTTGTACTTGGAAATTGCAATTATATCCTGAACCAGACAGCACATTCCAAAATGTGTGCATTTTTCTAGCTGAGAGGCAGTGGGGTGTCTCATCTGCTGTCTCTGTTCTGTCACGCAGGAGCGTCGGTTTCTGCGGATGTTGAAGGATGCTGGCATCCAAGATGTGAAGAAGCACCCGGTGAAAGGCAACTCATTAAAGCCGTTGGTGCAGCGATATGAGGAAGCTCTGTCTAAACTTGAGAAGACAGTCAAGGTAATTGAAATGGGAAAGAAACGAAAGTTAAACTAAAACTTGCACAGTTTATTGCACCTCGTGACTAGCAGAAATACTAATGTCTGGGATCCTTTTCTTTAACTGAGATATTTCCATTTCAGTGTGAAGGGAGCATTTTTAGGTGCATCATTATGAAATACTCAGAAAGGGTTGGGAGGGGAGAAAGAGGTTTTCTGTTAAAAGAAAGGTAGGCAGTGTCCCTGGAGGCATTTAGAAGGTGTGTAGATGTGGTGCTTAGGGACATGTTTTAGTGATGCACTTGGCAGTGTTGGGTTTACAGTTGGACTCGATCTTAGGAGTCTTTTCCAACCTAAACGATTCTATGATTTGTGGTGTTTCCCTTTCTATTCTCCCTTTCTCTTTACCTCTGGGACTTTGGCAGCTACCCAGAGGAAGGCAAACAAAATGCAGAAATTAAACTTTTTGTCATTACAGAGTTTTAAGACTAATTTACAGCCATGCTGACTAGAAGCTGGGTATTCCAGGCCAGGAAAGTATTTTCTGCAGGTGCTCTTTTATACACCAGTGGGAAGGTTGAGAGCTTTCAGATGAAGGCCAGGTAGCATTTAACTTTGCTAGGGTAGACTAGGGTTTCATAATAGGCTTTCTGTGCTGTATGATTTGGGCAAGTGTTCTGTCTAATTGGAGGACTCCTGATAAACATCTGTCCTAGAAAAAATGATTTTGAGTTGCAGACTAGCAGTGTTTGAAAACTGGGGCAGAAAGGATTATTAAATTGTCGCATTGCTCCCCAAAGTCCTTTCTGTGTGACTCTGAGACAGGGACATCTTCAGTCACCTTTTCAACTTTAATTTTGAACAGATCGAGCGAGCACAGAAACGAGCCTGAATGAACGGAAGCTGAGGAGGTCGTGTTTTGTGGCACTGAAGCTGCTGAGGTCATGGAGTACGATAACAGCAGCACGGTAACAATGAGACATGGTCACTGAATGGTTGGCTCCTCGACCTTATCGTAGCCAAAGTCAGCTCTTACAGGCCTTGTTCCCCTTTCAAGGACAGTGCAAACAGAATTCAGTTACTGGTTTGAAAAAAACCAACAAAACCACTAAGATACAGTTGCCTTGAAGAGGATTTTGCATCATACCCTACTGGTATATATATACCTACTGGTATATATAAAGCTATACTGGTATATATATACCTACTGGTATATATAAAGCTACCACCAGTGAAGAGAAGAGCTGTTGCAGAGCTCTTGAGCATGGGCCTGATGGAACTGCTGGTCTCCTCTGAACTCGGACAACTAATGGTTCTGTTACTGCACAAACAGCTGCATCTGCAAATGCATATACAGTGGAATCATGCTGTAAGCTGAAGTGATGGCAACTTTTAAATAAATACTATATATATTTTTAAAACAGTGTCTAATAAAGATTCCTGGGTACAGGAATGGAGATAATGTTGAAAGGATTTTTTGCTTCCTTGGTCTTAATCCTTTCTTGTCATTTTCTGACCTACACTCTTTTCTTCCAACATTCAGTACCAGTGGTAGCAGCAGGTATTATTAAGTGCTAACTTGGTGTTAATGAAGACTAAATGTCTGCTGTGTAATATGAATATACTGGAGTCTGCTAGTGTGACTGGGAAGCCATAAATCTGTATTTGACACATGCCAGTGATATTTTTAGCTGCCTGTAGCAGAAGGCTTAGAGCTCCCACGTAGCTGGAGACTGTTCACTACCCTCCAAGACCTTCAGCAGGAACTGTCCCAGCTATATTTTACTGTTTTGTATAAAACAAAATCTACACCAGCATTAGCTGTGCGTTATTGGAGCAAAACGAAGGGCTGGGAATGTTGGAGGGATGAGTGTCAGGAGCGGTGGTTGCATCTTGTAAAGCTAGAAGCAACATGGGGTGGTTTTATACCAGTGAAGTAGCACTACAGTGTGACTACTCTCTTTCTCTGGAGCAGTTTTTGGGCTGGTGTCAGGGTAGGAGAAGTCTTCTCAGGCAAGAGGAAGAGGTGTGAGCTCCTATGAGTAATGCAAGGGAAGGCTGAGTGACCTGGGTGTGCTTAGCCTGGAGAAGAGATGATGGAGAGGGGATCTCATCAGTGCTTATCAATAGCTAAAGGATGGATGGGCAAGAGGATGGGGCCAGACTTTTTCAGTGGTGCCTGGTGAAAGGACAAGGGGCAATGGGCAGAATAACACAGGAAATTCCATCCGAACATGAAAAACTTTACTTTGGGGGTGAGGAAGCACTGGAACAGGCTGCCCATAGAGCCTGTGGAGTCTCCTTCACTGGAGATACTGAGAACTCACCTGGACACAATCCTGACCATTCTGCTCCAGGTGAACCTGTTCTGTCAGGGGGTTGGACTAGATGATCTCTGAAGGTCCATTCCAACCCCTACCATTCTGTGATTCACCTCATGTGAAGCTACATCCCATCAGCCTAGCTTGGTTTTCCTTATCATTAAGTTATTAAGGGCAGTTATTAAGACAAGCTCGAGTTCCAACATGAGGTGGCAGAGCCTGGGCTGAACATTGTCCTGGAAAACCACCACCGTCCCCTGTCCTTTGACACCACCCCGGGGTCGGGGCGCTCCTGCTCTTCGCGAGGGTGTCCGTGGGGCGAAGCTTTTACCGGGGGGACGAGCCGGGGCGGGGCGGGGGGGCTGCTCTCCGCCCCCGGGGACGGGCCCGGTGCCGCTCCTCCCGGGACGACGGGACGGGAGGGGACCGGAGGAGACAGGCGGCGGCAGGATGGGGCTGGAGCTGTACCTGGACCTGCTCTCGCAGCCCTGCCGGGCGCTCTACATCTTCGCCCGGAGCAACAACATCCCCTTCGAGTTCAAGCGGGTGGAGCTGATGAAGGGTGAGCGGGGCCGGGGGATGGCGGGTTTTTTTGGGGGGGGTGTCGTTCCTCCGCCGTCCCCGGGTGAGCCCAGCTGCTCCCCCCTCTGCCGTCCCCAGCCCCGCGGCGACCCCCGGCTCCTCTCGCCCCTCCCGGCCAAACCACTTGTCACCCCCCGCCCCACGGCTGGGACCGGGTTGCTCAATCGTCCCCATCGGCGCCAGAGGGTGGGGTGGCCCCGCCAGCTGCAGAGGGCTCTGATGTCAAGACGAAAACAGGACCAAATTCTCTACAGAAACTCTTAAATTTTAAGTAATAAGCTCCTCTACAGCAAATGCGACTGCAAAGGTTTGTGATAATCTCTCACGTTGGCCCTACTTCAGCAGAAAATGGGTTTCTCTGAAAAAAAAAAAAAAAGGACCACTTTTCTGAGAAGTGCTCAGGATGTGCTAGATCTGGGGCTATACCCCATTTAAAAGGGAAACAAAAAGAAACAGAGATGGGACGTTCATGGCCGAGCGAGGGCAACTCAAATTTAACTTCCTCAGAAAACTGCGCTTCAGTAAGCAGCAGCGGTTGCTGCAGAGCAGCTTTTCTCCCCCTTTTAGCAGGGGTAAACAGCCCCTTGGGAAGGATCCTGGTGCCCAGAGCCCGCTGATTTCCCTCCACATATAGGTGGTAAGACAGCCAGCCACCCCTTTGGGGGTTCATCGGGTCCAGCTGTTTGTGGTGAGGTTATTTTGAAGGTTGGGGAGAGGATTGTGAAGGCAGTGGAGTGAAGCAGCACAGCCACAGGGGATCTGCACGCTGAGAAGTGAAGAAGGGAAGGTGGTTTACTGTGTATTAAAGCCACACAATACTTGGTAGGAGCTTGCCCAAGAGGTTATCGTGTGTTTTCACCAAAGGATGTCCAAAGATCTGTCTCTTCTTTCTCTGTAACCCAAGCTGGTAAAAGCTGCCCTTCCACCTTTTGCAGCGCTCTGCTGGGTTTGAGATTAGGGTAATGTATCGGGCATAAAAACACCTCGGTAAGTAATGCTTAAAAACAATGAAAGATGAGAGGGCTCTTGGGGCTGAAATACCTCGGTAAGTAATGCTTAAAAACAATGAAAGATGAGAGGGCTCTTGGGGCTGAAATTGGTGAAGGAATAAAAGAGGCTCCAGCCTGTAACTCAGTCGTGTTGTGGTTTAGTCTCTGGGTGTGTTAGTCTCTGTGGCTGTGTGTTGAGAGTACCTTACTGCAGCTTTCTTCCGACTTGCCTCAGTTCCCCTGCACACTGTGGCTGTGTGTTGATAGTACCTTACTGCAGCTTTCTTCCGACTTGCCTCAGTATAAAAAAAAATTGCTATTGTTTGTAGCTGGGGGCAGGCTCATCTTGTGTCCTTCCCCTTATTTCCCAATAAATAAACTGTCGTGGTGAGACATCCGTGCAAAGGAGGGGAGACTGGCAGGCAAGCAATAAGAGTGTCAAGGAGAATGGAACAAATGAAATACAGGTTTTGGGAAACTGAGAGGAAGGAAGGTTAATTAAATCACAGTTTCCCAGTGATCTGTGCCCCAGGGCATCAGCATTTGCTTTTGGTCAGCGGATTTAAGATGAGTAATTTGGCTTAGGGGAATGCTAGAGGCGCGTCCCATACCTGCAGCGTGTGCTCCCCTCCTGTGCCATAGGGAAGTGCTCCGGGTACCTGCAGCTGCATCAGCTCAGCATCCAGCTGCTCGGCCCCCAAATGCACACTCACTTGGGAATACAGTCCAAGGAGCCATCACTGCATGGTCTGTAAGGACCAGGTGAGGAAATACATACTCAGATCTGAGCTGGGGGCTTAAATGTGTGCCCTCAGAAAAGCTCTTGGGCCTCCGGTGAGATAGGTCTCAAGGAAATGGGTGGAAAGAGTAAGAACAGACAGAAATCACACCACACTCCAGGGACACCAGAGGACCCGGAATCTGCACACCACGTGTAGGAAATCCCAATGTCTTTTTTAAAGGGAGTGGGGGAGACGGGCTGTGAGCCAAGTGGCAGGGGCGTAGTCACAAATCTGGTTTGCCAAGTACTGGGAAAACTTAAGCCATTTCCAGAGCATCTCCTCCAACACAGAGATTCTTGGGTGACTCACACAGCAGGACATGGCATGGGGTTAGACATGAGAGAAACCTGAATACAGAGGGACACACATGTGACTGAAGCCAGGGGCTGGAAAAGGCCAGCATGAAAAGTCTCGTAAAACAAGGCTCCTGGGACTGGTTTCAAACATAATGGAGCACACTGAGACCTCAGGTGAACAAAAGCATCTTCTCCTGTCATGTTCACTCTGCCTACCTTTCAGGGAGATGCTGAGAGGTAGCTTAAAAGCAAATTCAAATCCATTTTGAATTGCTCTGATAAAGGATATGCAAAACCCACATAAAGAGCTGATTGAAAGATATTCAATGAAGTATCCATGGTTTTATATGGAATCACAAAAACCTATTTTCATCTGAGGATTAAAAAGAGAGCTGAATATAAATTATACTATCTTCTAGGAAAAAAAAAAAAAAAAAACACCACCAAAAACCACACAACTATAATCAAACAAAAAAAACCCCAAACACCTTACTTTCTCACTGTCGTTGTGGTTCATGTTTCTGATACCAAGATCTCTTTCCTCCAAGGAGGTCGTTGTTCATTCTGGGTTTGTACAGGACAGATACCTCCAGGCACAAGCTTAGAGTTGACAGAGCCCTGACTTGACAATGGTATGAAAGGACTCTTAACTGTTCTGACCTTTGCTGAGAGGTTGTTCTGGTATGCAGGCAACATGCAAGTAAGCTGACAGGATAGGGCAAACCCCATATTCACCCTGCAGCGCTTTTTGATGACTTATAAATTACACAAGACTGTATTTGTGCAATCAAAATGAGGAACTTGAGGCCAGGTGGTCCCCACAGCCTCCTCAGGTGTTTGCAGACAGATCCTGAGCATCACTGCCGAGCAGAACTTCTCATTTCCCTCCTCAGGGCAGCACAGGACAGAGGAATTCCAGAAGGTGAACGTCCTGATGAAGGTGCCCGCCCTAAAGGATGGTTCCTTCACCTTAGCGGAGAGGTGAGGCTCAAATCCACTCCAACCCCTGCTGCAGTATTGTTTACCCTAATGCTTGGATTCTGCCCATGCACTGTTTGGTCTCTACTGGGACTCAAGCTCAGGCAGTTGTTTGCCTCCTTCCTGGTCTGTTCCACTTGTACATAAAATAAACCCATGTCTCAAGAGAATCTTTCTCACATAAGCAACTCAGACAGCATTGATTGTGGAAAAATCTGTGAGCTAGCTTGCCTGTAGGCCATGTTTCTATGCCAAACTACCTGTCTGTGTGTCCTGCTGCTCTCTGCCTTCAGCTGGGGGCTGCAGTTCAGTGCCGTAAATCTGACGCAAGGCACTCTCCGTTGGATTGCCAGGCAATACAAAGCTCAGATTTGGGATAAACTTATTCTGTGGCTCATATCTGCTCAAAAATGTTGATGGGGTAACCACACCAGCAGGCCACATCTGTCTCGCTGGGCTGATGGATCAGATCCACAACCAGCTGCTCAGGCCAGCACAAACTCCGTCACATCTCTGGCAGTTGTGTCTCCCGCACTTCTGCCTGACTCAGGTCAGCATTGCTGCTGATCCAGCAGTGCAGAATTTGGGGGAAAAAGAAAGGATGAGGTGCTTTATTCTCAGCTCACCGGTCTGCCTTGCTCTCTGGGCAGCATCGCAATCCTCCTGTACCTGGCCCGGAAATTCAAGACTCCTGATCACTGGTACCCATCCGACCTGCAGAAAAGGGCCAGGGTTGATGAGTACCTGTCATGGCAGCACATCAACATTCGTGGGAAGGGGAGCAAGCTGTTCTTAACCAAGGTAAGACCATTATATACTAAATACCAGGTGCTAAGAGCTGTGAGTGCAACAGCCCAGGCAGTACCTCTTGTGTACAGGGCCTTTCTAAGCAAACGCACAAGCCAGGTGACAGACAGGACAAAACTAGATCTGGAATTGACTTGGCTGCTCAGCCAAACCTAACTGAAGTAGCCCAAATACTTCATGCTGTATCCACAGCTGTGTGCACACGCTGAGATCCAGAGCAAATTCGTCTTGGGTGAACAGCCAGGCACAGCTCACTGCCTTCTGCCCAGCTTCATGGAAAGAACCATCCTCTCAGTGGAAAACAAAATGCAGTTGTTTGCAGATGATGCAGCCTTCCCTTGAGAGGAGACTCTTGTGGTGAAATTTCAGATTTTCTAGGGAGGAGACAAGGACAGGCAGGAATTAATGAGTGACATTAATGTTAATCTGCCAAAGCAGATTAGCAGTACCACTCATTCACATGTGTGGAGAGATCCTTAGAAGGTGGCAGTGGGAGGGTGTGGACTAAGTTTGGAGGGAAAAATGTAAAAAGCAACTTGTTTCTTCTCCCTGCCAGGTACTGCTGCCTCTCCTCACAGGCCAGCCATTTTCTCCAAAGAAACTGGAAAGTGTTACTGAAGAGCTGAACGTTGTCCTGAAGCAGTTTGAGGAGAAGTTCTTGCAGGACAAGCCCTTCATTGCAGGCAGTGAGGTCTCCCTGGCAGACCTTGTAGCACTGGTGGAGCTCATGCAGGTGAGCATCCACTGCTGGGTATGTAAGCTGGTTTGTGGGCAGGCCAGGCCAAGGTGTGGCTTCTGCACCAGCACCTCTTTAATGGCAGATCTTTCTCCATGCGGTTAACTCTTTAGTGGAGTTAAATCTTGTTCCTTTTTGACTTTGACCGTAATTGAGTTTGCTAGGGAACATCCCCTCTACTCAGCACTGGTGAGGCCACATAATTGAGTTTGCTAGGGTCTCTGTACTGGTGAGGCCACAACTGGAATACTGTGTCCAGTTCTGGGCTCCCCAGTTCAAGACAGACAGGGAACTGCTGGAAAGAGTCCAGCATAGGGCAACAAAGATGATTAAGGGATTGGAGCATCTCCCTTATGAGGAAAGGCTGAGACAGCTGGGACTCTTTAGCCTGGAGAAGAGAAGGCTGAGGGGAGACCTTGTTAATGCTTATAAGTATCTGAAGGGTAGGTTGAGGGAGGATGGAGCCGGACTTTTTTCAGTGGTTCCCAGTGACAGGACGAGGAGCAACAGGCACAAGCTGGAACACAGGAAGTTCAACTCAAATATGAGGAAGAACTTCTTTATGGTGAGGGTGACAGAGCCCAGAAACAGGCTGCCCAGGGAGGGTGTGGAGTCCCCTTCTCTGGAGATTTTCAAGACCTGCCTGGATGCAGTCCTGAGTTAATGTGCTCTAGGCAATCCTGTTTTGGCAGGAGATTTGGACTAGATGATCTCTAGAAGGTCCCTTCCAACTCCAACAATTCCGTGATCTACTTTGAGACAGTTCTCTCTATAGAAGTACAGACAAAATTCCTCCAAAAAACAATAAACTACAAACTAGGCAGAGAAAGTAGAGATATTTGGAAGAGATGTTTTGGTGTGTATGGACCTCTGTGCTCTGCATTAGGCAGTTCCTGGTTTAGCCCTGGCAGCGCTCTTCCGCTGCACGTCCCAGGGGATGGCAGCTGCTGAGGATGACAACACTTGTTTCATACTAGCTAAGAACCAGAGACGATCTCCATCTAACGTGACAGCTCTCTGCTGCCTTGAGCCAAAAGCAAAGCTGTTCTTCAGTCCAGTCCCATCACTGGCAAATGTGGTGTTTGACTCACTCCTGGGTTCTCTCTCTCTCTCTCTCTCTCTCTGCAGCCTGTAGGTGCTGGCTACAACCTCTTTGAGGAGAGGCCCAAGTTAGCAGAGTGGCGAAACCGGGTGGAAGAAGCGGTGGGGAAGCAGCTCTTCCAGGAAGCCCATGAAGGGATTTTGAACATCCAGACTTTGACCGCTGATAAGATTGCACCTGAACTGCTGGAGCATTTCAAGCACCAGCTCCTAAAGCAAGCCAGCCAGAATTAGGGGGTTATAGTCTAATTAAATGGACTTGTTCAGGCTTTTTGTAGTATTTCAGCATTTCTTCTAAAAATGATACGGAGACGCCATTCCGCAAAATGTACTTCAAACACAGCCTTTCTGCAATTTATAAGGGAAGAAAACTACATTTTAAACAGACTGCAATGAGGTGCTTTCCCCTCTTGTCCACTACAGGTAGGTGAGCTGTAGCCCTATAGGATTTTCTATCTTTCTTCTCCACCACTGGATCTGCTTGAGGACAGAGGTGATTGGGTAGGAGCTAGGGCCAGTCGGAACAGCCCCTTCCATCCCTGTTTTGAGTTTCCCAGGTCACAGCACTATAGAGAAGCAAAGGTTTCCTGAGGGTATGGCAGAGCAGATCTGTCTGAAACATGGAAAAAAATCACTGAAAATGGCTTTCACTTTGCAACAAGCTCAGCTGGAAGATTTTTGCTCTTTAGTGAAGAGACAGGACAGGACCCAGCCCTTGGTGGGGACCCTGCCAGGGCTCTCTTGGAGCACCTGGCCACTAGAGGCTGCTGCGTCACCTGTGGGAGCAAAGGGACACAGTACCTAGGAGCAGGGGGCTGTGCAGGTACCCAAGGGAGGCTTCCAGCTTCTGGGAAGATGAGGTTAGTCCCATGAATAAAGATCCTCAGCTGCAGACTCATACCATACTTTACAAAGAACAGCCTGCAGCGCTGAGAAAAGCTGCTTTTGTAGGTGAAGCTGTGGCCAACCACAGGGTGTCCCTCTGCAAACCATAGCGGTGCTCTTGTCCTTTCCCCAGAGCAGCTCTGTCAGTTCCGTGGAAGCTGTGCAAGCCAGGCTCTTTCCAGTGAGGAGTGCTGTCCTGGCTGGGCCAGCACTGGTGGCAGAGGGAGCTGTGATGGCCAGGTCCGGGGTGACCGGAGTATGAAGTGTATGAGCTGAGTAATGCCTCAAATATGGTTAATGTTCCACTACTCCTCTGTCACATGAGATCTTCCAGTAAAGTTAATGGTTACACTTGCCACATGTTGTAGCTCTGTTTGGATTTATAATCAGGATTTGGAAGGAAGCGGCCACTGATTCATCCTCCACACCTGTGCAACATCCTTCACAACCTCCTGTCTGTGTCCCTTTGTACCCCTCCTGCCTTCCTGTCCTCTCCTGTCCCTGTGACCTTCCACTTCCAGGTGTGAGCCATTAGGAGGGTTCCAGTTTGCAGAACTGGCTTTTCCTTCCTTGTTAAGCTCTGGTTGTATCTGGAAGTCCGTTTGTCTGTGCTGGCTGGTTACACCATTCACAGAGATTGCTGCACAGTACACTGGGTGTGAGATGTCAGTGAGCTTAACACAAGTCATTACAGTGTTTGGAAAACCAGTCTTGCACATCCTTTCACCTGGAAATACTGGTTTTGGGGATTGAGCCAGTTGACTCTTCCGTGTTTGTTTCCTGAGTAAACCTGCCCCATAGTGCAAAGGGGCACCATGAACCACAGCTTGCAACGCACATCCCTCAGGGCTAGGCTGAAGCAGCCAAGCAGGCTGGTCCTTTTTACTTTCCATTCTTTCAACCTGCAGGAAACCCTAAATATCAGCAGTGAAAAAACAGAATTTGCCCCAAAACTCTTTCAGTTTCAGTGCTGGCACAGGTGGAGGTATTTGTCTTCTTACCCAATTTTTTATTGCTAAGTTTGTTGAGGAGATCCTACTGCACTCCAGCCAGCAGCTTTCTTCTTGCCCTGAGAGTGCCTGCATGGTTGATGTCTGAGCAGCAACCCCTGCAGCTTGCCTGCAGTGCTAAGCTTAAAGAAAATGGCCTGTTTACGCTGCACCACCAACCACTTCCTTCCCTCTGTAACCTGCAGCTTACCACAGCCACCAGCTGGGCTTCTGCATGCCGCTGGAATAAAACAGGTCCTTCTTTGCTACCCCACCGTAGCTGCCCAACCTCGCTGCACACTCATTACCACGTTTCTACTTTGACAAACTTCCAGATTCCTGACCCCCAACTTCTCCCTTTTTTGTAGAGCGCAAACCTCCAACTACCAGCACAATAAATTCCTCACGCAGCTTCTGTTCAAGTAGAAGCAGAGCAGAGAAACCGCCAAAACCAAGACTGTAATCTGTAGAGTGCTAATCTGGACAGGCCTCAAACGGGGCTGGGTAGCAAAACCCTGCTTGATACACATCTCCCTGCAGAGATCTCAAGGTAGGGCTGCTGTGCACGCAAAATGCTGTGCTCATTGCGTGAGCCAAAGCAAATAAAGTGTCTTGGTTTTTTTTTTCCTTCTTATTTACCATACTTGCAGCACAAGAGCTTCTTGTAAGAGAGTCTTGAGCCAATTTTCTGCTTGTTTGAATAAGGCACAAGTTCCTTAAGCATCACCCATTGTGTGCTCTTGCAAGGATGGCTGCCTTCAAAAACGAGTCAGAACTATGTTCAGAGCTGTGTTCTGGTGCTCCTCTGCTGGCAGCGTCGCAAAGGATAAACACACAGCTTGGCTACCCTCTCTCTCCAGCACGGTCGTGGTGACAAGAAAAGATTTTAAATTGTTTTCCCCACAGTCTTCTCTGCTCTAAGCTCATCTGAACTGTAGGTTCATTCTCCCAGTGAAGCTGTGGGTGGAATGACTGGTGGTATTTTGGGCCCTTCTACACATGCAGGACAAAGCACCTCCCCAGAGTAACCCCTTGGATGGCAACAGAGTTGTACAACAGATAAATCTGCCTCGCTTGTTTTTTCGCTTTAAATCAGGGAGATAAGACATCTCGTCCTTGTACTTTGTTTTTTGCTGTCCCTCCACCTCCCCCATTTTGTTAATTTGTGTCATTTGATCTTGGCTGGCTCCAGCTCCGAGATTCAAAGCCCCAGGAGCTACCTGCCAAAACCCAACAGGTTGTGCAAGAGTTTTGCTCGCCTCAGTGCAAGGTCTGTTCACTATCCACTCCCCTTCACCCAAACATGGAGAGGGGTTACACCTCCAGTGACAGTTTCATGTGCTGTTCTGGTTCAATTTCCTCAATTTTTGCCAGGGGCTATGTGGAAATAGGTGAGAGCCTGTGATTTCTAGAGTAAAATGACGCTGGGATACACAAAATAGGAGGAATGTTTAAAAAACAGATACACATCCTGAGACTTTTCTAAACGATTTCTGCAAAACTTACTGCGTTTTTTCTATTTTGTTCCTGTTTCCAAAAAGCTCATAGACAAAGTATGGAAGAAAAACAGCCTTTGAGGTGATGGACCCAAATGAAAATACAGTGGTAGAAGCCCTAGCCTAGACCCAGGAATAATACGGTCAAATGCCATCTAACACAGCCAGACAGAAATATCTTTGGTTGTGTGGGCTGTGCAGTGCAGGCAGCAAATTGAAGAAAACCTTAAGGAAGGAACCTTTCCAGGAGGCACATGAAAAGGTCTTTGAAGTCCAGATAGGGCTAATGGATCAATTGAACCATAAATAAAGCAGCAAAGCGAACCCACACTGCTAATCTTGCTACCCACTGCTGAGATCAATGAACAATTCTTGGTGTTACCTCAGAGTAGGGACACGCAAACCATTTTGAAGCACAAAGAGTTCTCAGGCTGTGAGAACCTGTGCAGAGCCACATTCACGCTCCTTTCCCCCACTCCCTCAGCACTTAAGATTCCTTTGCACTAAAGTAGTTTGACATGACCTCAAGCACCTGCCACAATACTCTACGAACCTTCATCTCCAGCATGTTGGTGCTTTGTGCAGGCACTCTAGAGGGTAACCTATACAGCAGGGGAGCTGAAGTCTCTGTGTACACAGCCCCTCTCCCTATTCTGACTGAGAAACTGAAAAAAAATCTTATTGTGCAGTTCTAAATCTGAAAAATTACTCTGAAAATAGGTGCGTTGTGCAGCGAACTTGATACTTCATGTTGAGATGCAGCTTGTTCAGCAGATGCTGGCAGACTGACCAGTCTAACAATAATCCCCATTCCTAACAAGTTCTCAGAGCTGAAGTCTTGGCAAAGTGGTATAATATGAAGCACCTGAAAGTGTTCCAGTTTGTAATTTATCTAGTCAATGAGCTGCCGACCCAGCATCCAAACCTTTTCACCACCCTTTGTCACGATTCTTTCACAAGTAAAAGAGCAACTGATCTCCAGTTCCCTCTCCCTGCAGTTCCTGTGGCTCTTTCTAAGGATTTGTGTGTGACATACAAGCTCTCTGGCACAGCACTGATAAAAAGGTGTCAGCTGAGCCGAGGTGGGTTTGACTGGGGGTGACTTTGCTCTGAGTGGTTCAGCCGCTTTATCTTCCAGAGTCCCAGGAGTCCCTGTGCTCAGCCATGTCACCTTCCCCAAATCACACAGCTGTGAAACGCTGTGGGCTCCGTGCAAGGGCTTGGATTCCCTCTGAGCTCCTTTAGTTCTCCTCCGCTTGCGTGGAAATCTGAAATGACAAATACCGGGGAGAAAGGGAAGTCATTTGACTGCGAGTACGCAGAGGTAATGGCCCACAGAGAAGTCCTCCATGCTTCACTGCCACTCAGGGCGTCACCTCGCAGCACTGGGCAGACTACTCGACCAAAGAACCACCTTCTGCACCGAAAACCATACCGAGATCCAGCACTGCAAGACTAACGCTGGCTTAGAGATGTCCCACGAGGGCGTGACACATCCTTGCAGGGACGCGATACAAAAACCAGCGTTTACCTTGTGAAAGTGATGGTGGGACACTGTGGGAGAGCGGGCTCCCGAGCCCCTGCCGTGTCAGCCACGGCTGTGTATGGGACCCCCAATGCGGAGAGGGTTTAAGTATGTGTGGAAATGGGTCCCTCAGAGAAATTACGCCCCATCTGGGTCGAGGCTCCCATGCCGGCTGACGGTGGGATCGCACCCACCTCAAGGTGGTGGCGCCTGTAGACGAGGCCCAGGCTACCCAGCGAGACGCGGGTTCCAATTTTATTTTAGTTGTGTGTTCTTTTGTTGTTTTGTTTTGGTTTGGTTTTTGTGTGGTTGGACTCGATGATCTCGGAGGTCCCTTCAAACCACTAAGATTCTGTGATTCTGTGACAGCCCCTCAGTGCTTAGTGACAACCTCTCTTTTGAGGCTGGTGTACCTTACCGTTATTTATTAATTACCATCACTCACACCTTATCTTCTTTTCCTGAGGCAGGCCTACAGGCACAGTGCCAGCCCCAGCACGGCCAGGGCTGCCAACCCTTTGTGGGATGGGGAACCCTGACACCCCCCCCCCGGCTTCTCCCGTGCCCCGCAGCCCCTGCACTTTCCCGTCTGGACCCCGCAGGAGATTTTAGCCCTGAGACACCCCCCGTGAAGGTGCGGAGCCCGCTACCCGCACGGCCCCCGCCTGCACCGGGGGAGACCGGAGCCCCGCGCAGCCGCCGCCACCTCCCCTCAGGGCCGCCACCTCCCCTCAGGGCCGCCACCGCCCCTCAGGGCCGCCGCCGCCGC